GTCCCAGCCAGCCCATCAGAATCCCTAAGCAGGTCGTACCCCAGTTTCGATATCCGTTAAACGCCGCGCAATGCTGTCCAAATGATGCTTCTGAGCCTCGTGGGCTCTAACTCTAGAATGATAGAGAGGATGAAAAATAAATCGCCGCAGACAATAGTCGACATGTTTTGTCTATCACGACTCGCCGCTGCCGCCCTGAGGGCTCGTCCGGATCTTGAACTTGTCCCGGAGCTTGTCGGCCAGCTTGGCCCGGCGGCCTCGCGCGTCAACCTCGAGCTCGGACGACCCTTCCGGTGCGGCGTGGGCACGCTGCTCGCGTCGGTAGTCTCGCAGGGCTTGCATTCGTTCTTCGACGGATGCGTTCCGCAGTCGGTTGAGATCCAGGAGGCGAGATGTCCTGCGTCTCTGCGGTCCATTGGTACTGTTACTGTCGCTATCTTGGCCGTCAAGCTCGAGCGGAGGCGGGAGAGCATCGTCTGCGGAGCTCCGCTCCTCGTCCTCGTCGTGTTCAGGGCGCAGATCGTGGCGGCTGCAACATGTTAGCATCTGTTCAACAAACCCATTTTGCAAAGGAGAACTGACCATAACGGGCAGGTCCCAGACACATTGACGAGCCAGGGGTCGATACAGCCTGGGTGGTATTTGTGGTTGCAGGGCAGCACGCGAACGTCCTCTCCTACGTTAAAGTCTTCAGTGCAGATTGTGCACCCCAGGTGCTCGTCGTTGGAATTGCCGACGGTTCCAGAGGCTGACGTCGTGGCACCTCCGGTGGCCGCTGCCGTGGCCTGCGGGATGCTGCGTGTCGTTCCTTGCGGCGTTTCTCCTCCTCTTACGGGCTCCTGCTCGACGGGTCTGTCGCGCTGTTCGATCGAAGCGTTTTCGAGTTCCATATCGGGATCTGGTTTCGCGGGTTCCGGACTGCCGAACTTGACAATCGGGATCGTCTCCAAAACAGCGCGGGCAAGGCCCTTGGCACGGCTTTGGCGAGGCCGTCCGGCGTGACCACTGCTGGGACCGTAGCGTTCAGGGTAGCGATGGGCTCGGATGGCACCTGTGCAGATGATGATGAGGAAGAGCAGGGTGATGAGGCCTGTGATGGTGTACAGAATGCTCATGGCGACGGCCGAGTTGTTGCCGCCGCTGCCGCTGCCGCTGCCTGAGCTGTCCGATGTCGTGTTGCCAGTGATGGTGACTTGAATGACGTCAACCTCGTTGGTGTTGTTCAGAATTTCAAACGCAGCCATGGCGTCGCCAGCGTCGGCCATGGTAAAAATGCTCTGGTAGGGAAGTTCAGAGCCTTCCAGCATGCACCAATTGCCGACAGTACTGTAGAGCACAATGGCCTTCGGCTTGTTCTCCATCAACTCCAGTAGCATGACATTGGGGGTTGCCGAGCGGCCATCGTCCTTCTCGTCGCATGACAGGTAGGCGATCTGCCCAGGACCGGTGATGAGGTCGTAGTTGTCGGGGTCCGCAGCAATCATGATACCTTCGAACTTGATCGACTGCGTAGGAGGTTAGCTCATCCGTCAGAACACGCACACATCAACGGCAGAAGGACACGTACTCCGCGAGCGACTTCGGATTGATTCAAGCCCAAGCTTTGGGTAGACGGCATGATTGTGTAGTCGAGAGGCATCACCTCGCCGCCGGCGGAAGACAGCGAGAGCTGCATCGTTGATTCGGCGGCCCAGTCCGGGACGTCGTTCTGTGCGGTGATGGTAGGTGCCTGGGCGGCGGCGGCGACAGCGGCGCCCGCCAGCACCGCCAACAGAGGGGAGGATATCATCTTGCGTGGTCTGTTCTTTCTCTCACTGCAAGCGACGGTCGACGTCGCTGTAGCGGGGATGGGAAAGAAGAGGGAATCGATCGCGGGATGTCAAAAGAGAGCGCGGAAGGTCGGGATCGGAGGTTTATCGTCGGGCAAAAGTGGGCGGCGAAAGAGCAGGCCTCTAGGATGAAGATCGTAAGGACGGATGTCGAGCGCCTGTAGGGCGACGGTGGAGACGCGGAAACAGAGCAAAAGCTATGCGGCGGGGGTTCGTTTGGGATGTCGCATCTCAATGCAGAAGCGCACGCATTGAACGGAACGAAAGCTCAGGGCTCGCCGGGGATCTGTCGTCGTGATCGACGTGCAAGTTGTATGCGAACCAGATCACGCAGCCTGGGTGTTCCACAAGTTGTATGGCGTTGTGCTCCGCGTCGTATCGACTGACCAGTCTCGCAGGCAGCAAACCTGGTGTTGGCTTGCTATGCAGCAGCGGCGAGGGCACTGAGGAATTGCAAATCCCGACGGTGCTTGGCGGAGATCGGAGGGACGGGCGGTCTTTCGATGGTGTTTCGTGCTGCTATAGCGGACAGGGTAGGCAGCGGATTGATGCGGGTCGGATGCGTCGGTGCAACAAGGCGGGCGGACGGGCGGGCAGGATGGGGCAATATGAGTGTAGGCGTCGTAGGTCATCGATCATAGGCGGTTGATAGATCGAGAAGAAATGGATGCCACCCACCTTTTGAGGACGGATGAGGAGGTCGGACGGCTGTGAGGGCGGGCAAGTGGACGGTCGGGGTCGGGAAGGGAGAGGAGCAGGAGGAGGTACAGAGTCGGATGGCGAAAGCCACGGGATTCTCCCCCTCCAAGATGCGAGACCAAGCCGTGGGACGAGAGTCAAGAATGTGCCAATACCGACCTAACGACTAACGCCAACGTTCAAGGCAATGCCAGACCATTCGGCTACGGGAGGGGAGGAAAGCGGGCAGCGAGATCACTGGGAGGCGCCCCTTGAGCCCAAGTCAGCAGGAAACCGAGGCCAAGGAAAGCCAAGACGAGAACGAGGGCTAAAAGGCCAAGAAGCCAAGGAAAGACCTTCTTGGTCCTCTTGGGGGTGTCCTTGGCCGTCCAATCCAATCAGGGTGGACAAGGCAGGAGTTGTCAGTGTCACTCTTGGCAGGCAGGTTTTACTGCCACCAATCAGCAGGTGCGCCAAGCCCAAGGCATTGGCTTCCTGCTGAGAATGGCTCGTCGCGTCGTGGCACCCAAGGCAACTTACCTACCTAGGTACGGGCAGGTACCTTTGTTAGCTCATCAGCCATCGCCCTTACATAATCCCGTCACCGCCACGCCGCCGAGGAGCATCTCATTCTTCTGTGTGCATCATGTTTGAGCTGCTGCCCCTCGTCCTGCGGCTCGCATCCAGTAGTCAATCACCGTGTCTGGCCTGCTGGCCTGCATCGTGGTTCTCTCAGATTTCATTCAAACAAGACACCAAAACTCACACACTGGGTCAGCGCGCCCGGTTTGTCTGGGCTCTGCCTCTGGCTCTGGCCACCCTCTCGGCATCCGGCAGCTGTTATAGTACCTAAGCATATCGAGAAGTCTTAGAAGTCTTGGCTAACTCTCCGTTCCGCCAGTCATGATCAACACACGGACAAGAACATGCAATGCGCCCAAACTCTATCAACTGCCGTCGCCAAGGCAGCGTTCATGGTAATGACCGTGTCAGTGTGGCGATGGCCGTCAATTTTACCTAGGTGCCTAGCCTAGATGAACCCTAACTTTACTGAATAACTTTACGAGACAAATGACGGTTATTCGACCAGCGAGATGATCCTGATATCCGACTACCCTATCAGCCTTGGCAAACTGTCATGTGAGCGCAGCGCGTCGGCCAGAAACTCATCACACCTGTATCATAATAATTCATCAACTTTGCCGTCCCAATTCAGACGCTTTCCTACACCGCTGGAGACGACCATCCGCCTCATCCGGCCGACTCAGCCCTTGCCAACCCTGCCACGACGCACTCCACGTTTGAGTCCTTCCCCTTCCGGATTCATGATCAGCACCCAAACCCTGTCCGATCTGCCTCCTTTTTTCATGCCGAAATGGTCACCCCTCCCGCCCGGCATTTCACATGCGGAGCCGAGCGGATGAAGTATGCCCCAAGTAAGGCTGCTGGTCGGACATGTTGCTTTTTTTCCGGCGTACTACGTACAGTCCAGTCCTGGGTCTGGCTTCATGTCCTGTCACTTCCCCACAAACTTCTGTCGTAGAGCTGCCCCCCCTGTCATCCATCGCTCACGGTTGCAATTGCAAACCAACATGCGATTCGGATGGCCGTTTCGTACAACTGGCAACGCTTCGAACTCTGGTTCCCCCATTGTGTGTATACCCTACCCATTGGCAGGAGGAAAGGGGGCTCCCTGGTGATCACAAGCCAGCTGCATCCCAACAGACCGCCTGCCGCAGCATCGCAATGCGCATGACGCCCGAAATGGAGAGAAACTGCACTGCGCTCGCCTTTGACACACTGCGGTCACACAATTTTGAAACATTTCTCGATTCCATCTCACACACACGCCCCCCCACCCTGCCGTCCAGCCAGTCTTGATCTGGACCACACCGCGAGCCGCCTTCATCAGACGACACGACACGACACGGCGGGCGGGGGCACGTCCCTTGTCGCGTCCTCCGCACCATGCCCAGCACGGCGCTCATGATCATGGGCCCTGCCGCGCCTGTTTGGCGGGGTCTCCGTCCGCGGGCGATGTCGAAAGGGTTGTTTCACGGCTGGCGGTAAACGTGCCCACTCCTGCTGCGTGTTCATCCGGAGAAGCGCGATCGAGCTATTTTGGAAAAAAGAACCAACAGAACCCCGTGGCTCGTCATCTACGTCTCAATCGTGTGCGCCGTGTGCTCTCCTGGGCATCTGATGTTTTCCCTGGGCCTCACCAGAGGCACTTTGTCAGTCTTTTGACCTGCACAGCCCATGAGGTGGGTGGCCCGCTGGAGGTGGAAGTATTCAAACAGGGTCAGATAGTGTTTATGCGGTACATCTCATGTTCGAGACTTATGATAGTGGCAACAGATCAGGTGTTGGTTGGGATGGGCATGTGTCTGCTGCTGATGACTATCGTTGCTTGGTCCCGGGGGGCATGCCCTGAGTATTGTACAGCGAACGAGATCCCTTGCATCCGGCATGCCAGACAATGCGGTGCCCCCCCTAAATCTCCTCCATATCATCCAAATCATCCAGCACAGGCCAATCCCCCACTTCCACGCGCTCCGGGCGGACGAAGACGCCATGCTTCAGCGCAGACTCCTCGCCCCAGTAACGCGTCCCCTGGATACTGCCGTCGTTCTTCCCCACCGGCTCGTCGAGGTGAACGCCAACCCATGGCCCCGCGCCGCCTGGGATCGCGGGCACCTCCCCCACATACTTGATGACGCCGCGCCTCGTGTCATCGCCGCCAACGCGGCACCGACGGCCAGCGGCGATGCCGCGCTGCTGAATGTCGCGTTCGAACGCTTCAATCTTGGCCTGCTCATGGCTCGGGGCGTCGGGGTCGAAGCGGCCCAGCTTCTGAGCCTTCTTCCAGGCAAGGACCGAGTCTGTCTTCTTCTCGTACTCCTCAACAGGGAGGACAAACTTTTCGACGCTCGTGTCATTAAAGTTGGGCTGAGCGTTGATGGGGCGCGTGTCCACGACCTGGGGCTTCGCGTTAGCGGCAAAATGTCCGGCTGCCTGTGCAGTGGTTGGGCGGGCACAAAGGACGACTGGGTGGGCGGCGGCAACGTGTTCGGGACGAAAAGGCATCATCCCAGCATGTGTGCCATGTCTCATCGATCCGTGATCGCAAGCGTGGGCGGCGGATCTGCCTTGCCCAACCTTGACTCGTTGATCTGGATAGACATGAGACATTTTTTTCACGGGTGAGATGGCAGCCCGGCACGAGAGCCCACGATGAACGGCTCCATCCCCAGCACGTTGCCATTGACCCCGCTACCATGGCCGTGATTTGCCTCTTGCTATGGTGCCACCTGACTTACATGTAATTCTGCGTAGGGAGCCAGGGGGTAGCTGGTCAGGGTGACAGCATCTTCGTCGACAGCCTCGATGGGTTGACTGCCAGCTGGCGTCTTCAATGAGAGCTTCTGAGAAGAAGGAGGCACCCCGGTAATGTGCTCAAGCTTGGAGCGCAGGGTGCTGATCGACCACGCGGGGGTGATGCGCCGCTCCGAGGAGGTGTTGGCGGAGATGACGTAAAGGGGAACGTCTGCCATTGTGTGTGTACTTCAGTAAGTAAACAGAAGATGCACAAGGGAACGGTATCTCTGCGGTTTGTCAGAACAGACGTATCAAGCTGAAGGGCAAAGGTAGGCAGCGTTGCGCGTAAATCATGAAGCGCGATGCCAGTGGAGAGCTGTAGAAAGGGGGGGCTGACAAACCAACAAGTCGGTCCACGGCCAGACTACCGTCGAATGAGGTCGCTCGAGCTGTATGCGGTCGATGCCCAGAGGGTGGAACAGATTTGAGCGGAGGAGCAGGATTATTTGCAAATGCCAGTGTGGGGAGGTTCGGGATGACTTGCAGTTGAAGCGGTTAAGTGAGGTTACAATGGTCGTGATATGTTTGCAAGTGGATATGTGTATTGGACGTTTTGGTGGGGCAGGCGCGGGGCAAGCCACAAGCTGCACCTTCCCAGCCACGATAAGGTATCAATCAGTAGGAAGTAGTAGGTGCGTCGTAGTAGCCGAAGCATCGATAGCTAAATCCGTCAAGAACATCCCAGGCTCGTTCGTTATCCCCTTTCCCAACTAGAGGACATCGCGTACCACGTGGGCTGATCTGCTGCGTAAATTGCAGGCTGCTGAGCTCAGTTTTGTCCAGACGCTGCAGCCAAGGTCGAGATGCAAACGGATACATTGGCTCCCAGCTCCCTGAAGACGCTTCCTCAAGTGCATGGCAGTGCCGTTGATCCCAGCCTTGCTAACAAGCACCATCCAACGGCAACAAGGCACACGGCAACTGGCAGAACCATCAGCATGCATTGTTACGCAAGGCTCCGAACCAAGGACCCGGCTTCTGACTTGGAGAGGCAACACCACAGGATTGTCTGGATCATTCGACAAAGACATTGATTGGCGCACCAAGCGTTTGTTGTTCAACATACAGAACCCATGAACAACCATTTGACTGGGAACACGACATGACGGCAACGACGGCATCGGTGCAGCGGCAGGGGCACGCCAGATTCCGCGCATATACAATGACCCATCACCTTGTTCGAGCCCGGCTGGAACAAACGCGTTCATTCCCTCCACATTACCAAATACAAGGCATTATCCGTATTGCAAACAGGACGAGGACGGTCGTTGTCCGTGACGGACATGGGGGCCCAGCTGTGGACCCCCGAAAGCTGCATCTACGAGGCTACCTAGGCTAACACCACCTGGCGGCAGACAAACGGATGGGAAGAAGCAACCAAGATCAGGCCCACAAGGTACCACCATTGTTTCCCTTCGGTGCCGTCCTAGCGCTACTTGTTATTGTCTTCCGGCAGCCGGCGCTACACTCCTGGGCACCACCTTACAATATATTCGCTGCGGTGGCCTCAGCCTCCAGCATCCGCGCGCGTCTGTGCCGATCCGCGAGGCGAATTTGGCCAGTTTGATGCTATCGCATTGACGATAACGTCAGCTAGTTTGGACGGCGTCGGCTTCTGGCTGCCTGAAAGCTATCATCTTGAGCATCCTTGCTACCCGACCACTGGGCTGGATGACAACAATGTATGCCCGAATCGTTAGGAATTACGCCGTGAGCAGACAAGTGATGGCCTCTCACCGCCACATTGGGTTCTGTGTCACCGACAGTCCTCCGCATGGGATGAGATTATGGAGGTTGAAGTACCCATCTTAGCGGGCGGATGTCGTTCTCGCAGGCTGTCATGATGCCCTGTGTCAATCCGGGAGGAGGGCGTGGCCATAGCACCCATCCATACCTCCTGTACTGTACCTACAGTCTCGTTCGCCTGTGGTGGTTGCTGGCTCAGGCCTCTAGACACCTGGACCGCCTCTGGACACCTGGACCTGGGCCCAACCTTCCCTTCCACACACACACACGCACACATCGCCGCACGACAGTTCATCCCCAGGTCACTAGCCTGACATTTCTGACCTCTCGGTTGGATCCCGTCAGATCGTGCACAACCGACCGCTAGGAACTGAGGCAGCTGGGACGTGCAAAACCCTGTCGGACTGCAAAAGTCCCGGGTTCTTCTGCGGTGCGTTGGCAGCGTTGCATGGCTCGTGGCGTTGACGTTAGCTGCTTGATGAGGTGACCAGCAAGCCTCCAAGGCATCTTAGTTCTGGCATGAGGCTCTATTCTTGAGGCTGTGCACGGCCAACACAGAGGTTGGGTCTCCAGCGGTGGCGAGGAGGCAGGGATGCACGTTGAGCTTACGAGCTTCACCAAGCCTTTATTGACATTTTTTTTTTTTTTTTTTTTTTTTTTTTTTTTTTTTTGCTTCCGGCATCATTACAGGCGGTTGTTCATCTAGAGCGAGGACCCAACCGAGCCCCGTTGTTTTCAACTTCCCATCTCCAGCCACCACGCGAGACGAGTATTCCACCTGCCGAAGCCAACGTCATTGAGGCCTCGACTACCCACGCCGCCCACGAATGCGATTGGTGCTCATTGTCAGCAGCAAATCCGCAATAAGGACGGTTTGACGGGCTGCCAATTCCTCCTGGCGAAGATTGGGAATGGCGAACACACACATGCACCAGAGCTCACTTGACCTTGCCCAACCAACATCATGTGTCTAAACTGGGCGATGAACGGAGTTCTAAGTTCTGGATAGAATATGGCACAATTACAGCCGTGGTACGATGGCCCTGGGGCCGAGCCCTCAAGACATGGTCCGAATTCGAACAGCCTCACAGGGCTGTGACAACGAACGATGACTCGAAGCCGCGCGGGGGCTGCCATCTTCGCTAGAAACAGAAGGCCGTCATCGCTCGTGTTCTCTGATAGCTTAAGTCAGGTATCAAAAGTCAATCTGCCGTAGCCACAGAGCTGCGACATCGGCAGGAATCTGGCAATAGTCGTGAAACGACGACGTTGAAGGTTGCACACAGCCATGACACGGTGAGCACGTGTTCGAACTTCGAACAACCACTTAACACCTGAGTGCACATATGGAGTGGCCTGAGCAGCCTCGCCCAGGACATTGCAATCCTGTGGCCTTCGGGAGCGCGGCCTAATAACGGGCGCGGCGACATGCTGCAGCCTTGAAATAACGAGAGGCTCTCCTTGTCGGCACAACCCTTCGATGAAGTATGACGTTGGGTTTCGCGTGTTGGAGGGTTCGGCTGCTTCTCAGGCTGATGAGTAATGTTGGGTAGCATTGAGCTGGGCATGTCCCGTCACGTCTCATGAAGGCTAATCTTAGAGATGGAAGAGATACGGAGTATGAGGGATAGCAAGGACAGGGTAGGCATGGCAGGCCGAATGAGTTTTCCTTTGTCTATCCTTTTTCTCCATCCCATGTGGCATCATCACTTTGCTTCTCCAGCTGTTTCAGCGCCTTCGGTGCCTTCGCTCGACCTCCGCTGTCGCCCCGAAAATTCAACACGCACATGCCGAAGCCCCGGCCACCTCGGGACAGCTGATGTCAGGCACCGACAAAGTACAATGAACCGGTCAACCTAACCATGTGCACATCGCTGGCGCAAGGACTGCGACGACGACGACAACGACGGACGACCTGACCACGCCTCTGGAGCCGGTGTAGGGCCCAAAGGTGGTGTGCGGCGACTCGCTCTCACAGGCCCAGCACAGTCCCCGGTTCGCACCCGGGACTAGCATGTCCTAGCAAAGACCGACGATCATGGTTCATGGCAGTTTCGCGAAGCATCCTTCAGCGCTTCTTTTGTCATTCACCAGCACCAGCGCCCGAGAGGGCTCAGCCCACCCAGCGCGCGCCGCCCTTACCTTGTTGCCCTGAGAAGATGCCCAGCAAGAGACGAGCAAGAAAAAAAATTACCGCCCTGGTCCTGGGAATGAGTCTGTTGGCTTGGACTAGCAAAAAAAGGCTTGACCGCCAGTTCATTGCCAGCCACCCCGCCAATCCGCGCCGACTCTGAACAGGTGATCCTTCTTGGGACTGAAAGTCGAGAGGGAACGAGGAACACGACGGCAAAGATGACGGGGACCGCGCAAGTACGGACGGGCGCAGACGCAGCAACAAGACCACCACCAGTGTCAGGCCAGGCCAAGTAACCCATGGCCAGAAGAGCATCAGGGTTGTCTCCTTCCTGGTGCTTCCCGAGAGCCGTTGTCTCTTGTTGCCTGGCATTGGCCCTCTGTTGGTTCGTTCTCTCGAAGTCGAGACAAGCCTCATTCTCGATCTCACCTACATCCACCACAGACTCACTCTACCGGCTCCTTGTGACTGACTCCCCGGGCCAGAGTTCCCCCTTTGGCGTCGCGTTGCCATGCTGCCATGCAACGAACAGGAAAAACATGCCGCACAGACGCCGCATTTTGACCTCGAACCGAGAAAGCGTAACCCCTAATTTCATCAAACCCCAGCAACGTTCGCCGCACCTTAACACACAGACACACGGACAAAGCATCAGAAAGGAATTGCTGTCTCCTGCGCGACCTGGGGCGGCCCTCGACAGCCTCGTTCGATCCTGTGGCCCACCGCGGGCTTCGGCGCGCAGCAGGGCCCGCTGGTACAGCCCAGTCTAGTCTGATGACAGCTGCCCACCCGGTCAAGCTGGCGGGCCCCAGGTGAGGTCCGGAGAAAGACAACGCCAGGTCTTGGTGGAGGGCGGCCGAGCGCAACACACAGTACGCATCTCAAGCAGAGAGACAGAAGCAACAATGCAGATTCGCAGCCTCTCTATGCGGGAAGTTGTCCGGCCAGTCAGCCGTCTGTTCGCAACGCAGAGTCGATTTCTTTTGTCCCGTCGCGTAACCTCCATCAATCGACTGTCTAACACGGTACTTCTTGCGTGTGCGTCCATCACTCAACGTGCAGCAAGCTAGCCCGCCGCACACAGGGCGCAACGTGCAGCACTCGACATTAGACACAAGTGCAAGTGTGGCCCCCCTCGAGCCCCTCTTCGGCAATGCTTCCTCCAAACTGGTATCCCCGAGGATCCGCACCAGCATCCTGACTTGCTGCCCTTTGCTTGCGGTTTCAGAGTCTTTTCCTGCCATGCAACCTCGCGACAGTCACCGCATTCCGCCATCTCCACGCTTGCGCCGCCCTAAAGCTGGCTCCAATGTGCCCCAGCGGCCCCCAATGCCCGAACTTTTGAGACCCTGCGATCGCAGTGCGCCACACTGCCTTGTCAAACCTTCTTGACGTCCTCGTCTTGATCCACGAGTTTGGGCGAGCCTTGCGACTGTCCAGCCACTCATTGATAGGCCTTGTGTCCACGACCCTGTCATGCTCAGATCCACCCATCTCGTCGCAAAAGAGCCCAAGAGCCAACCTTTGAGGCAAGTCGAGGAGGAAGAGGACACGCCGCAGAACCTTGGATCCTCTGACGTGCGTCATTAACCCGCATCTCGCCTTCTTGATGTTTTAGCGTGTTGGACGAGCAGCAGATCGTGGATGTGAAAGTGGGCATGTTCGGTCCAGGAGGTCATGCATGAATTCGTGGCCATGCCATCATGTCGGCTAACCCCCAAGTCAGGACTGCCTGACCATTCAACCATCTCACCCCCCTCCCGGATCTGCTGCCCAGCGGAACTCACCAGCACGCCGGCTGGTCAGGTTGCGTGGGACGTCGATGAACAGGACAGGGTTCGCCAACACAGCAGACACAGCACGAGGGTGCGGCACCAAGAGCATCACCAAGCAGACATCCATATCCACACACACACAGGGGGGGGAGGGGTGTGAATGCAGGGGGCGTGTGGTCCTCGGGAGAAGCCTGTGCGCAAGCGCCTGAAAAGGGGGGCGTGGTGGTCTTTCACACATGTGCCCTCCTCAACCGCTCGGCTGGTGATCCATGTCGCCTTTTCAGAGCCACGACCTAGGCGAGAAAACACTTGTTGAGCCTTTGACAGATGCATCATTGCTCGTCAGGTTGTCGCTCCTCAGGTTCTTCAACACGCCGCCCACCCGCGCCGGCCACTGCACTG